CCAGGATTGTGTTAAATGGTGATTTATGATTGAGGTTCACCATGGAGAGAAGATGACATTTAACATGGGTTGACTGTTAACAGGTCTTCTCTGTTCATATTGATCTGTTGATGCTTTTCTTGCTACAAAATAACCTATAAAGTACCCTCATCATTCTGCCTGGGGATTGAACCCCCACCTTTGCCCTGAGCTATATCCTCCTCCCCCTTAAGACAGAGGCTGATTTGCTAACTGTTGTCTAGACTGGCTTGAATTTTTGATCCATCTGCCTCAGCCTCCCGGAATGCTGGGAGATGGGCTGGAGATTTAGCTCAGCTGTACAAGTACCTTCCTGACAGGCTCAAACAAACAAACACAAAACAGAATGCTGGGACTACAGGTATGTTACACTATGTTCTTTTTATCTGTTATACCTTGAGTCTATGAAGCACATTCATCTAACATCAGACTTACCTATTCTTTGCCAAGTGGACAGGGCCTCACTGAAGAAGGACCCATTCTGATTTTGGTTGTGTGAGCTAAGAACCACTCTGGTTTGGACTGGATGGTAGAGGTGAGCTGTCTGTGTTGTAGCTATTAAAAAGGAGTTTTAAGCTTGTCCCCAGCCCCAGGCAGGTAGTAGTCATAGCTGCTGCCTGCAAGAACACTGGGTTCAGTTCTGGGAAATTGGGCAGCCTGCGAGTGTGCTCAGTAGCATGTAGGGTGCTGAGCACATGGGATGCTGGGAAGGGCCACAGACCTCTTGCACTTGTTCTAAACCCCTTCCTAACTGTTCTTTGCTGGCTTTGATTATTAATCCTTTTTGATAGAGTTAGTGATTTCCCATGTAAAGTTGCCAGTGAGCCTAATATGTGGCAGTTTATCATAGCATCAATGCCAAGTGAACTCAAAACATGATCAGTATTGGTTTAATTTACATTTTAAACTGGGCAAAGAAAGTGGGAAATTATTACGACAAATGATTTTCTTCAAAAGTATTTGCTTTTCTACACTATATTAAGCTTTCATGAATAAAGTCGATAACTTTCTTTCCCCGAATGTAAAAAATACAATGAAAACAGTTTCAACAAGGGATTATTTATATGGCACTTCATATTTCATTCTTGATGTGAATGCTTAAGATTTCTAATGTGTATGTGTGGTCTGGACTTGTCAGGTCCCAGAATATTCGGCTGCTCATGATACCACCTTGTAGACCTCAGCCCCTTGTTTCTGTCAACAGTTGCCAGACAGCATGTCATTTTAGCAGTGGCCAGAGATATCATTCATTCACTCATTCAGCAACTTTTACTGAGTATGTGCATATCAACAAGTTAATCAGAAGTTCTTTTCCTGGTTAGAGGAGGGAAGAGGAAGTGGACCCAGCAGACTGCCAGTGAGCACCGGAAGGTGTGTGTGCGTGTGTTAGAAGGCAGCGAGTTCTCTGGAAAAACTGCAAAGTAGATCAGGATGCCAGGGGTGTGTAGCCAGGGGGCTTAGAATTTCACAATAAGTTACCCAGAGAAGACCTCCCTTGGTGGATGGTGAGTGAGCGAAGATCGTAAGGCGGGAAAGAGTCCCTTGAGAGAACGCCTTGGAGCGGGGGAGTCAGGTAGAGGGAAGAGACCTTGCCAGTCCCCTGTGTTGTGGGGGGGACTGGCGTCCGGGAAAGGGCTGGGGGCTCCTGTCCTGAAGAGGTGCTCTGTAAGGTGTTTCTGAGTGGAGGGTTGTCGCTGGCCTACCTCCTGTACTCTGTCAATGTCCAGAGACAGTTTTGATTGTTGTGATGTGGGCTAGGGGTGCTCCGAGCATGTGAGTGGGTAGAGGTCGGGATGCTGCTCAACGTAGTACCTAGGACGGTCCCAACGGCAAAAGCTGATCTGGCCCAGGGATGTCAGTAGTGCTGACGTTGAGAAATCCCAGTCTGTTAGTACATAGTACACCAGCTGTTCATTGATTTGTTTTGTCTTTGAAGACTTCATAAAAAAATCAAAATGTCATGGGAAAGATGAATTACAGTAGCTGGTCAAAATTCCTTCACAATTGACATTGAAGCTAATACTATTTTCATTCATTTCGAGGAAAAGTGGTCTACATCTTTCTTGTATGTACATTAGTCAACCCTGGTGCTTTTAGGAGTACTTAAAAAAAGTCCAGTGTACCATTCATAAGCATATAGTGATAATCTCAATGATGATCTCATTAATTTGGACTCAGGTGGGATCTTCTAATTTGGAAAGGGGCTAGGACAGTGGTGGTGAACCTAAGGCATGTGTGCCACAATAGGCTGTTTGTATCATTGAAAGCTTTAAAAAGTTCATCATCATGGTCCATGTAAGAGAAAATGTTTACTTACATGAAAGAAAAAACCAATTGAATTTCAGTATTTGCAATAAGAGGTACTATTTTTGAATATGAATGTAATGTTACCTTCATATTTTCCTTGGATTGCTCTAATCCAGATTTTTTAGAAATTAGTCACATAAGTGCCCCTTTTCTTATTTTTACATTATCAGTGCATCACCTGTATTTTTCTTTATATCAGTATCAGCTAATTTATTTAAAACTACTTTGGAAAATGTTGAGACACATTCGCAAAAGAAGAAACCTTTCTTTGTTAATTGAGAATTATGAGGGGCAATAACCTTGTGTGATTCACTGATTTTCAGTGTATCTTCCACTGTGGCAGATGTGGATGTGCTGGCCGCAGGTCTCTGTGAGTGACCTCTGTGAGGCGAGTGACCAGTTGTGCATTTGCTGCATTGCTGGCTGGGGTCAGAGCTGCAGGCCAGAGTGAGAAATCAGCTAGTGACATAAGGGAAGCCATCTGTTTCAGGCTGTGACCGGCCTCTGACAGTCTGTTAGTGCAGAACCTCTCCCAGGGAGGTAGCAGTTAGACAGCCTGGTTCTTTTGTGGTTGGGACTAAGATTATAACTTTGTTTCTTAAGACAAAAATCTCTGTAGCTCAGATTTCTTACTATTTCAGGTAAGTCTTACATATTTTTCTTTTCTTTCTCTCTGTTCTTCCTTACATGCTTACTCAAGAGTTACAAAAATTTAATTCTACTGTGTTTATTGTTGGGATGATCCAACACTTTTGATACATTATATCCAACACTATAATTCATTGATTTTATTTTAACAGGTATATATGATAGTTTTGGACTTATTTTTTCTCTGTGAAATTAGATATCTCATTTTTGCAAACAAAAGTGAGTTAATTAGTGTGGCTGATTGCTTTAGAAGTCATATTTTTAGTGTTGCTTTGCATGGTTGTAACGTAGATGTTGCATCTCAGGTTTGTTTTGGGAAAGGTAGATTTTCTCTGTTTTCTCCTACATTCCTGGAGTCTCATGAATTCTGCTAATCAAAGACTCAGGAGTGTGATTTCTGCAAAAAGGAATATTTATTGTTTGCTATGTGCCCAGCATTATATGATATAATCCAGATATTTAAAGGACCCCCAAGTCTAGTTATGGAGATAGAATTAATGGTATATTGGTTTAGGTAAAATGTTGAAATTAACAATTATATAGTTCCATTTAGTGCCTTCCTCCCCACTTTGTGTCATAGTTTTTAATATGTGGTACCTGTATATATTGTATTTAATAAATCACATAGTCTTTAAATCTTCTTATACATGTATATGCAATATATTTTTCATACCTTTTAATTTATGTGTGCGTGTGTGTGTGTGTGTGTGTGTGTGTGTGTGTGGTACTGAAGATTGAACCCAGTGCTACATGCTTGGACATGCTAGGCAAACGGTCTAGTGCTGAGCTATATCCAGTCCTTTTTATTCTATTTTAAGACAGACTCTTACAAAATTGCTCTGCCTGGTCAGAAATTTATGACCCTCCTACCTTGACCTCTTGAGTGGCTGGGATTATAGGCATGCACTACCATAACTGACTCCATCATAAATATTTTGAAGAAAGTAAAAGAAAAGTAATTTTTTTCTATTTATCATTTCTAGTGCACTTTGTTCTTTTTGAAGATAAAGGTTACCAAATTATATTTTTCTGCTTCAGTTTACAGATCTTTTAGCATTTATTGTAGTCAACATTGGCTAACTATGTTAAAAGAAAGAAGCAATTTTTCTTCTGTGAAGTCTGTTCAGTGAATTTTAAAATTTCTGATATTGATTTAATTTTAGAATTTTCATCTGATGGCCTTCTATAAATACAATAACTGTTCTTTGCTGAGATTTATCTTTTCACTCATTTTCCTTTATGTCCATGAATATTATTATAATAGTTATTTTAAAATCCTTGTCTGTAATTCCAACATTTGTGCCCCCTTTTAATCTATTTTGGTTTTTACTTTTTTACCTAGTTGATGTTTTTCTCATTTATTGAAGACTTTTGAACTGTAACCTGTATGTATCTTGAGTATTGTGTGTTGTAGAATCTTTGAATTCTGCGTGTGTCTCCAAAGAATACTGATGTTTTGTTTTGTTTTTGTGCTCACTTTCGCAGTGTATATACTAAAACTGTTTTGTTTTGGTAGGCACTTAAGTTGAATGAAATCAAACTATTAACTCATTTTTCTCACAGAGAATAATATTCCAAATTTTAGTTCAATTCTTTTAGCCTTAGCTGTGTGTCATGTAGTTTGCCACACGGCTGTGGTGCTCAGGGATGACAGCCAGGTTTGAGACAGAGTTTAACAGAGAAATTTCTTCAATCTGAGTGTCTCCTCTCTGGAATTTCTCCCATCCCCTTCCCTTCACCTTTAGTGAACTCTGGAGCTGAAACAAACAATATCAGTAATATAGTACACTTAATAATTTAAATCCACTAGTAGTAACAGTTGATATAGTTAAAGAACGTAGGTATGTCAGATGTTATATGCCTAAGTGTCTGTATATCATCTACCTTATATTATCTTGTCCACACTGCAGCAATTACTTGAGATAGGCAGCTGTTGCCCCCACCACAGTTTTTTTCCAGCACTGGGGATTAAACCTAAGCTTTGCACTGAATGACGCACTCGGCCCTTATTTTGTATTTTGAGACAGGATCTTGTGAAGTCCGTCGCCTGGGCTGGCCTGGAACTCGGGATTCTCTTGCCCTATCCTCCCAAGAAGCGGTGATTACAGACGTGTCCCACTGTGCCTGGCCTGTTATATCCATTTGAAGCTGAGGAAACTGAGAATCAGAGACGTGAGATCCTTATCCACGGTCACGAACCTAATGAGAGAAGAGCTGAGGGGCAGCGTCAGGAATCATGACTCAAGTTCTGTGACTTCTGCAGATTGTACAGTCATTCCTCTAACATCTTGTCAGTGAGAAATTTGGAATCTAATCTTCAATTTTTTTCAGTTTTCTTAGCCATTGGTATTCTGCAGTACGTCAGGATCTGAATTTGTTATTACTTAGTTTAGCGTTCATGCTTCAAATTGAATATTAATCTTTTTTCCAGTTTGAAAAATATTTAGTCAGTATTTCATTGAATACTGCCCCTTCTCATTTTCAGTAATTCATTCTTATTGTACTTAGGCTTTTGCATACCATCCTTCACGTGTCCCAAGTGCTGTCCCATCTTTTCTGTCTTCTTAGTTTTCTGTGCAGCGTTCTGGATGATTTGTCATCGCAATCTTCCAGCTCACTAATTCTCTCTTGAACTGTGTTTAAGCTGCTATTTAAGCCAGTTATTGAAATTTTAATTACATTGTCTTCATGTTCTATTTCTTTTTTCCTCTGTTTCTCATTTCTACTTGGTCTTTTTCATACATATCTACCCCTTCCCCCCTCTTGTCATTATCATGCTAATGTAAAAACTTTAATTCTTTCTAAGCTTAGTTGGTAATTTAGTTCAGAATTTGCTAATATTTCTAAATCTTGAGGTGTGAATTCTTTGCTTTGTGCATTAACTCTTTTTCTTCAAGGGTAGGCTTATGAAGTTTCACATGTCATGAGTTGTGAAAAATGTGTGTGTGTGTCTGTGTGTGTGTGTGTGTGTGTGTGTGCACATGCGTGCGCACACATGTGTCCCAGCCTGTACTGGGAATGGAACTCAGGGCCTTGTGCATGCTATGTAAATGCTGTACCAGTGAGCTACACCCCTACCCTTAATGTGTTTCTTTAGAACAGTCACTTGTTTGCTTTTGTTGGGGTGCCTGGGGTTTTAATGAACCTGGATAGTGATCTTTTTAGTAGCTCAGTTTGGGATTCCTATACTTTGGCAGTAACCTAAGTTTGGACCATAGTGGTTTAACCTATCAGATTTCTCCTACCCTTGGCAGACAGTTCTCTTATATTGGTATTTTTATTTCAAATTCACAGCCTGTATTTTTCATCCCTATATATGCATCCAGGTCTTCAGGGGTGGCTGTAGGATGTCAACTTCTTACTGCTCTTTTTCTGGCCTTAGGGATGTCCTTCCTCTCTTACTATTTTATTGATATCTTAGGGGATTGGGGGGGTATTAAAGGATTCCATTCTCTTCTATTCCACTGTCATGTTGTGGAAATCTCAGTAAGTAGGATTTGAGCCCATCTTCCAAAGCACATGCGATTCTGATCATTGGGCTGGAGCGGTGACCATAGCAGATGGAAAAAGGCACTTAATATTAGAATAGAGATCAGATCAGTTGATTGTTACAAAGAGATATGTATTTGCCTGGAAGGTTGAGACATCCAGGCTGATAGTTCAGTAGTTTCCTACTGGACAAAGTATAAAGGAAGAATTTGACAATGCTTTTCCGGTGCCGTTCAAAAAATGGTAACTTACTGCCAAGCAAAAAAACCTGGCAATTTCCACATATATTCCTGCATATTGTACAGTGAAGTAAAAGTATCCTTAAGGGTGAATAGCTCTGTAGTCTTAAAATTATGATGCTTTCTCTAGATCTTAATTGAGGTTCTCAAGGAGACAAAGATCACAGGGTCACTTTGTAAATACGGAATCAGAGCAGAGGAGTTTGAGCCTTTGAAAAGTTTTCCATCATAGCAGCACTAGCAGCTGGCCAATTTGATCCCTGTAGTCTCCATAAAACATGGTTTGGGACGTGGGTGTCATAGCACAAGCCTATAATCCCAGTGCTGATGAGGCTGAGGCAGGAGGATTGCTGTGAGTTTGAGTCCAACTTGGACTACATAGTGATTCAAGACCAGCCTGAAATATGCAGTGAGAGCCTATCTCAAAAAACTGAAAAAAAAAAAAAAAGAGAGAGACACATGGCTCATAAAAAAAGAGGACAGAGGTTACACTATCTGCTTATCTTTCTTACTTTTTAAAAGTCACTTTGATTGATTGATGCATAATTTACACAAAATAAGATTCACCAAATCTTAGCAACTACATAGGCTGTGACCACAACCATATAACCCATAATCAGGAAATACATTTTCCAACACTTCCAGAAGTCCCTTAGCCTCCTCCCCTGATTCCTGCAACCATAATCTGCTAAATATTGCTATATGTTTGTCTTTTATATTTTCATGTAATTATGTGGTATGAAATCTTTTGTTTTGGCTTCGTTTATTTGGCATAATGCTTTTGAGATCATTGCTTTTTTTTGCTTTGTTTTTTTGGGTACCGGGGATCAAACTCACAACCTTGCGCTTGTCAGATAGGTGCTTCTATTGCTGAACTAAATCCCTGGCCCAGATCATTGCTTTTTATTGCTGATATTCTATGGTGTGGATATTTACCAATTTGTTTATTTAGTAGTTGATTGCTATTTTATATCCAGTTTTTGTCTAGGTAAAGCTGCTATGAATTTTTTTTGTAAACATATGCTTTTATTTCTGTTGGTTAAGTATTTAGAAATGGGAATACTGCGTCATTGGCAACTATGTGTATTTATTTTTTAAACTCCCAAAGCAGAGCCTGTGGTGCATACCTGTAATCCCAACTATTCATAGGGCAGAGATATTTGGATTGCAAATTTGAGGCTAGGCTAGGCAGTTAGTTTAGTGAGACTTGTTTCAAAATAAAATTTAAAAAGAGCTTGGTTGTAGCACAGTGGGAGAGCCCTTATCTAGCGTGTGTAAGGCCCTGGGTTTAAGTGCTTTCGGGGTATATGAGAGTGAAGGATATGAATGGATGGATGGATGGAACTGCCAAAGCATTTTAGGAGCTGTCACATTTTGCATTTCACTAATAGCATATAAGAAATCTAGTTGTATATATTGGCGAACATGTTTAATTAACCTTTTCTGTAGGTATGTAGCAGTGGCGGCGAACGTTTGGCGCATGCGCTGCTGCGGGCGCGCGGATGCCTGCCTGTGTGTGGCGAGCCAAGTTGCCCCAGCAATCCCTTCACGGCCAGCCGTTCAGGGCTAATGGCAGTGCTGGCACTTGGTGATAAATAAGCAGGTTTTAGGTTGCAGTTTAGGTACTTGGTCTTTAAAAGGTTCACCATCACTGGTATATAGTATTAATTCATTGTGGTTTCAGTTGACATTTCTCACATTACTAATGATGATGTACATCTTTTCCTTATTTAACTGTCATTAGTATATCTTCTTTGTTGAGATGTGTACTCAAGTCTTGAGCTTAGTTTTGGAATCAAGCGCTAAGTTGGTTTGTTTTTGTTTTTGTGGTTCTGGGAATCAAACTCAGGATTTTGTGCTTGCCAGGCAAGTACTTATGTCACTGAGCTATATCCTCGGCTCAAGCGTTAAGTTTTTATGTAATGTGGATTCACATCTTTTATATGTTTGGCAAGTATTTCTTCTAGAACTGTGGCATAATGTTCTATTTTCTTCCTTGGAAAGCAAAAATCATTAGTTTTGATGAAGTTTATATAGCATAAGCTTTTTGTGCCGTCTTTAAGAAATACTTGCCATACTAAGAGCATAAATATTTTTTCATGGTTTTTTTTTCCTAGACGTTTACTGTTTTATGTTTTGGGTTTGTGTTTATGAAAGAATTTGAATTACTTAAGGATCAAGGCTCATTTTTCTCAAGTATATTTATTCAGATATTCTAGTACTGTTTGCCAAAATGATATGCCTTTGCCTATTGAATGACCTTGGCACCTTTGTAGAAAGGAAATGACGAGCTGCCAGGGATGTACCTCAAGCACCTGCCTGAGGAGTGTGAGGTTGGAAGTTCGATGCCCAGTAGCCCACGCCCCCAAAAAAAGAAAGAAAAAGAAAAAACGAAATGATGTTAGATTTGTGGGTTACTTCGTAATTTTCTCTTCATTCTCTACACATTTGTGCTTATTCTAGTACCAAAGAGTAGAGAGAGTCAGTCTTTCTGAGTCATTCTAGTTGGTTTTCTCTTTTCAAAATGGTTTTGGATTTTTAGGTGCTTTGAATTTTCATGTACATTTAGAATCTGTTTGCTTGCTTGCTTTCTTCCTTCCTTCCTTCCTTCCTTCCTTCCTTCCTTCCTTCCTTCCTTGAGGCAGTAACTGAGGCCAGCCGTGACCTTGCTGTGTAGCCCAGGCCCTCCTTGAACTCCTGACAATCTTGCCTCAGCCTCTCTAGTGCTGGAATTACAGGTGCACCACCATGCTGGTAGCTGATTTATTTCTACAAAATTAACTGCTTGGCTTTTGATTGGGATAACATTGGGTTTGTAGCTAAATTGGGGAAGGATTAACATTGTAACAGTATTAAATCTTCTAATCCTTAAAAGTGTTTTAACTCTATTTAAAAAAGCTCTTTAGCATTTTTCTCATTACAGGATTTATACATTGTCTGTTAAATTTATCCCTAAGAATTTCATAGTTTGATGTCATAATACGCTGTGTGCATGTTTAGTTGTACCCTGCAGGCTTGCGCAGCTCATTTAGTCCTAGTCCTTCCAGGTTTCACTATGAGCGTCTGCATAGACGATGATATTCCTTGTGAATGGACAGTGTTACTTGTTCCTTTTTTTTAACTTTTTCCTTTCTAATCTGTATGTTTTTTAAAATTTTGTTTTCTTGGTTTACTGCTATTTTACTTCTACATATGCTATAAATCCCATAGTGTATTTTCATTATTTTTGCTTTAGCAGTCAGTTACTTATTTAAATTTTTTTATTAACACATTTATAGTACATAATGATTATATTCATTGTGGGGAGAAGTTAGTACAAATACATAACACATCGATTATTTTTTATACTTTTTTTTTGTCTTTTTGAAACAGGCTCTCCCTTTGCGGTTCAGGCTGGTCTTGGGCTCACTTTGTAGCCCAGGCTGGTCTCGAACCTGCAAGGATCCACCTGCCTCAGCCTCCGGAGTGCTGGGATTACCGGAGTGTGCTTCCACACCCAGCTGTTGTCCTTTTTTTCTTCTCTCTCTCCCCTCCCCTTCATCTCTTGGTCCCTTTTCCATTT